AAGCAGACCACATTCCCTAAGGCAGCTACTCAGCTGCTCACAGTAGATTCCACTATGTAGTTGATTACCAGTCTCATCATGGGGAATACTACATTCAGCTGCCCAGCCACTCAACCAGGCCCACCCAGGTTGACACACAAACTGAACTACCACAGGCACTCAGAAACCTCAAAGTTTTGGCCTTGTGAGCTCTCTCAGAATGTCTGAGGAGCATTTAGTGCATATAACATAGAATGAATGATAGAATGCATATTGGTAGGAAATGAAGGCACAGAAAGGGAGGCTTCAGTTCACATAGCCGTTAATGATAAACTCACCACTAGTCTAGCAGTTTATTTTACCATATATTGTTTCCTGTCAAGTTCATTCCAACTCATGGCAACCCAAGTGTGCCAAGCAGAAGTGCTCCATAGGGTTTTCAAGGCTGTGACCTTTCAGGAGCAGATCTCCAGGCCTGTCTTCTGACTTGCATCTGGATGGGTTTGAACTGTTAATGTACCTCGTAAGCATTTGTGCCATCCAGGGACTACTATTTTATTATTTAGTAGTATATAAGTTTGATTGTTTCTTTATAGTTAGAACAACAAAACTGGCCTTTATTTAGAATTTGAAGTTTTAACTTTATACACTCACGGCATCTTTTGAGCTCCTTGACATTGTACAAGTCAGTTAATCTCTCTGAGACTATATAGATTCTCATCTATAGAATTTGAGAGAAAATACCAAGACTTGAGTATTCAATGACAGTATATATGAAAAGCTTTAAAAAAAATACTTTAAAAACATAAAATATTACCAGAAAGTTGGTAGTTGGGTTTTTTCCCCCATAATAATTTAACTTTTGTGTTTTTCTTTTTTTTTTTTTTTTTTTTTTTTTAGCAACATGTTAAGGATACCTATAAGAAGAGCCTTAGCAGGGCTTGCTAAGTCTCCTAAAGAATGTGGTGAGTATTTTTTAGATCTGCATTTGTGGATACTAGACATTGTAATTTCCTAGGTCTGTGCAATGCTTCTTAAAAGACCCTAAAGACATAAGTGGGAGCTCTGGTAGCATAGTGCCTAAGGCACTTGACTGCTAACCAGAAGGCTGGCGGTTCAAACCCACCAGCCACTCCTTGGAAGGAAGGTTGGGCAATCCTACTTCCGTAGTGATACTGCCTCGGAAACCCAAGGAGGGGTCACTATGAGTCGGGGCTGACTCGACGGCACATAACAACAACAACAAGAAGGACATAATTAGTTTTAAATAAAAATAGAAACAAATTTTCCAAGGTTTATAGACTAGAATAATTTTCAAAATACAGTTTTACATTAAGCAGTTTACAGAAATTATTACAAAATAGAAAGTAGTAGAAACTCCCCATCAGTGCCAAAATGGAAAAGGCACAGTCATTTTCCTTTTGAAAAGTAGTTTTCCCATGAAGTAGTATTAAAAATTTCAGATCAAACTCTTATTGAAAGTAGGCAATCATAGTCTGTTTGATATTCGATATTGAAAAACTTTTCTCTAATCCAAAATTTTAAAAGTTTCCATCTAAAAACTAGAGGGGAATATAGAGCCTGGTGAGACCCCTGAAACTGTGGCCCCTAGTTACCCTTTGTCTGGAATTGAACTCACTCCCATGGCTTCTATCCAAACAATAGACAGACATATAGGGTGAACATTTACATCAGCTAGATACATTCCTTAGAACGATCGATCATGGGAGAACAGAAGGAAAGTATGTGCACAGGGAGATAACTCAGGCAGGAATGCATAGGAAAGAAGGACACAGGGAAGCAGTAACTACAGGGAGGAAGTGGGAAGAGAGCTGTTACACTGTGGGGAATTGCAGTCAATGTCATGAAACAAAATTATATAAACTGCTGTATGGAAAATGAGTTTGCTTTGTAAACACTGACCCAAATCACAATAAAATTAAAAAAAAAAAAAAAAGGCAGGGGAAGAATGTAAAATAAAAATGTTAAGCTGGTAAATTATAAGCAGTTAAATTTTGTTACTAATCTACTATAATAAATTTAACTCTATTAATTTGTTTTCCACCTCAATTATTTTCCCTACCTTAATATTTTTGATGGTCAGTTCGCACAACTTCCACAGCAGCAAGTAACTTGATTGAAGTATTTGTGGATGGTCGATCTGTCATGGTGGAACCAGGAACTACTGTCCTCCAGGTAGGTGTATGTTCTAATTCTTTACTTGTGTGTGTGTGTGTGTGTGTGTGTGTATTGTTTGTTTGTTTTTAATGATTGCTTTCTACTGAGTATTGTGGACTTAAAAATTTTTAAAAATTGCTGATAAAAGAACTATAAGTAGCAAAATTATATGGAAATATGATTTTAAATCTTAGCATTACAAAGTGAATTATTTCTGTTTCTGGCATTCTTAGTGGAATTTAACAATTCTTTTTACTTCTGTCTTCTAAGTGAATACCCATTAAGACATTTGAAGTTAAATAAAATGAATTACTTGCTACAGGTAAATTTATGAAAAAGATAACCTTTGCTCTGGGCCTGCTTGGTGCTTTTTTTATGTTCATATTGCCTTTTCATTTTTAGCATTTTTTCTGTGAATATGTTCTACAAAACAGGTAAATGGAAGGTAGGGCTTTCTTGAATTCATACCCTAAATACTTAACTTCTCCCAGTCCCTCCAGAAATAACTAACTTGTTCATGGAGAAGTGATGC